ATATATAATTTTACCTTTGCAGTTCGCCTCTTAATTTATTGTGATATCATCAACCGGTTTCAATTTCGCTTTATTGTGAAGTTCACCTAATTTCATCTGCCGAATTGAATCAGATTCATCCTCCAAGGTTTGTAGTCAATTAAAGAATCATATTGCGCTACCATCGCTCTTGACCATCTCCAATTTGTTCTACAAATAATTATATAATAAAAATTTAGTTCTAGATTCATTTTTGTGTAATTATCTTATAATTTTGTAATATATTTTCTGAATCAAAATTAAGGCTCCTGACTCTTCATCGACCGTACTAGAATTGTGACGTCAGAGGCGGGAAAACATGGTAAAAATTCTTAGATGCCATTTCAAAAATAAAAGATATTTCAATGAACCAGCACTTCAGATCTTAAAATATCTCAAAACTATCCTTCTTCCTTTATGATCAATCAATAGTTGTAATATGAGACCCAGTCACTCCACATGACAAAGTTTGAGATCACGATCATTTTACGGTTGTTGATTGAATGTCGAGAGAAAAGAAAAGTTTTCGAGGAATTTTAAAAGTGTGCTGAAGTCATCTGAAGTAGTGTTTTCAACGACGAAAACCTTTTCATTGAAAAATGACATGTAAGAATTTCAGCATGTTTTCTGGTCTCCGACGTCACAATCTTGCATGGCCGCCAGGATTCAAGAATCTCAAGAACCTTAAAAACAAATTTGACATGGAATATTTTTAATTACCTGCAAGTCATACACAGTTTTGTGCAACTCTTCCTTTTCCTGAGTCAACATTTTCACTTGCGCCTGTAACTGCAGACTTGCTGAGCGCTATTCGTTGTCATCAGATTGCGACATTGAGCTTGACTCTCCTCCAACGCTTGTGCTAATCGATTCATGGTGTCACCCTTCTCCACCATGAGAGCCTCATGCGCTCTTCGAGCATCATCTAATTTTGTTCAAGAGTAATATACGATGTCTCCTATAAAAAGGTAAACATAATAAACTAAATGAATTAACATTATTTATAAGCGTGCAAATATATTTATAAAATAATATCAAGTTTATTGTATTAAGAATATGAAGCATATATATTAATCATTTTTCTGTGCATTTAAATAAATAAATTATACTGAGAAGAAAAGCTACAATAGGCTGTTTTGCAGTTACAAAAATAATCAATAATGACTTGCCCAAATACTATTGTTGCTGGTGTCCATATTGAGCAGCTGTGGCAATATAATTATAGAGAAAATATATATGCGAAATATGACGAATAATTCAAATAAAGAGAATTCAACAATACCTTGACATTAATTTGTCCGTAAGAACGTCTATTTGTGTCTGCATATTTTTCATTTCCACTGCATGCTTCTCTTGCGCCTGTTTTAAAAACTTTTCATGTGTCTTGTCATTTGTTTGCAGCACCTGTGTTCTTTTCCAATACAGCAATTTTCTGTTGCAGATCTATGACAGAGTCTCTCGCGATATTCAGATCTTCTGTGATCTGTAAAAATAAAATAATTACAAATATCTATAGAAATAATATTGCAATTTGTCAAATGTAATCTTAATCGAAATAAAATGTGAATATGTATATTACATTTGATTGGTCTTCTCCAAAACTGTATTTTTCTCTTTTAGAGACTCCATTTGCATTTGCAGATCATTTATCTCAGCCTTGGCGTTAACTAAAAAAAATTAATTCAGTTTGATTTTATATTGTTTAACAGGCAAGATAATTAAATTACTTTAATTATATGTTTGAATATCAGTAATACTAATAAATTAATACTAATATTTTTTCCTGATTCCATATGATTCTATAGCTTTCTTACCAAGTGCATGCTGTGCTTGAGTCCTGGAGATATTAACTCTTTCGATTTCCGCTTGTAGGCAGCATCAATTTTCTGGTCTCATTTGACTCTTTTCATCCTCCTTTTAATTGCAATTGTTGCAACTCATTCGTTAAACGATCGATCTCCCCTTAATCTGACCTATACAGTACTTCCAGTTGCTCCTTGCTATTGTACTCTGCCGTTTTGTACGCTGCATCATCGTCTATCGACCTGCCATTTGGACTAGTCTTGTAGCAATGATTCATGTGATCCGACGTAGTGTTGTCGCCGCCGCCAAACTCGGGAATCTGCTTACTTTGTACATTATTTTCATAGACATCGGTAAGCCATTGTTGGAGTATTTGTTGGGTGCGTGAGTATTGTAATGATTGGATGGTGTTTCATAGTTGCAGGGATAATTCTCGTTAAATGTACACTCCTCCGATTGCGGATGTATCTTGCGAGAATATCCGGTGATCGGTGGTTTCGTCAATTCATACGGCGTCTCCAGCATGCTGTTACTATTGCTGTTGTCATTGAATCTATTATTGCCGTACGGTGTCTCGGTTGTTTGTACAAATCAAACTTGGTGTGCGCGGACCCACCGGTGGTTTCGGTGTCAGATATGTGATGATTTGTTATCACATTGTGATCGTAATTATTCAGATTCTCCACGTGATTGTACACCTTGAATTCCTTCTGTAGTTGCGCTACCCCTTTGACAGATGCAACTGAGGATTCTGGGTCAGAGTTGATTGCTGTATCAGTGCAATCAATGTCTCTGGTATCTCGATAATGACTACTGTCGACGGAACTGGCATCTTCATCATTCTCTAAATCATTGAATGCTGTTGACATGAGAGCCTGGAGCTGAAAACAAAACAATTATTGAAATATTTGTACATATTTTTTTATAAACGTTTATCATTTCTTATCGCAGGACATACAATGTTACACAATTTTTTTTTTAAAGAAAAAAAATGATGTGCAGATGTACACAGGATGTTAAAAAATTAAACTGAAAACTTTGATCGGAAAGAAAATTTCAAAATAAAAATTTTGTATTAATACAAATATTCTCTACATTTAATTGTTTTGAGTTTATCAGCTTTGAATAAAGTTAATGGAGTAATTTTTGAGCATTTACTGTAAAAAGACTGAATCACTTTTGTGTGTATTTGTTCCATGTTTTCGAATTTTTAAGATTAAGATACAATTTTTTCATTTATATGTTAATTTATTGTTCAAGTCACAACTTCTGTTCTTCATCTCCTTTCAACTACTATAATATCAGTAATATTAAAACATAATAAAGAAAAATAGTATTAACAAAAATTGTTTATTTTGAAGTCTATTATTTCTCTTGAAAACTTGTCAGTTTTAACATTCTATATAGTTTTTTCTTCTATACATATAGTATAGTTTCAAAGCATAGTTTCATAGAAACTTCTGTTACTTCTATATAATTATTTTTACATTACATGAAACATTAATGTGCCAATTTTTTCTTCTACATAGTATAGTTTCTTTTACAATTTCATTACTTCTATATAATTTTTTTTCTTTTACATTACAAGAAACATTAATATACCAACTTTTTCACAGCAGAATCTCATACCATAAAAAATATAATACGCTCTTTTCTCAAATTTGATTCTTCCAAAACACAATAATAAAATTGCTCGTTGAGAAAGACTCTACACAGTGGACTTTATGCATCGTTATCCCAGTGTAGAGAATAAAAACAGCATATAAGAAAATTCTACAGCAAAAAATTACATAGCATGTGGACCTGGCTATCATTTTCCACTTCTTGCCAAATGTAACAATATAATAAAAAAATACTCTTTCTCTATCCCACACACCCAAAGAAAACGGTATACAGCATTTACACATGCGGGATACTCGTGAAGCGCGTGTAAGGAAATTCTGCGGCAGAGAAAGCGCAAAAAGCAAAAAGAGAGGGAAAAAAAGAGCGGCGTTACCTCTCCCTCACGTCGTCTCTTATCCTCCTGCTCCTCGTCTTCCTCGAGTCCCTGCACCGCCGCGTTCAGCTGTATGCTCTCGGAGCCCTGGAACAGGCTCAGCCCCGGGCCCGTCTCCATCCCCTGGTGTCGGCTGGGCGAATGGGGTCTCCCTCTCACGACGCGCGCACGACGTGACTTACGAAGAACGCGTCGGATTCGTTGCGCAGCATATTTTTGTTTATAACGCCATAACCTAGACGCAACAAGTGGGTCACGGCGTAGGACGCGCGAGGTAGGACGCGGGGTCCGCGACGACGTGGGCTACGACGCACATCCCGCGGGACATCCACGCGGGATTCGACGAGAGGGGAAGGGAGGGGAGGGAGATGTCCCGCTCTTCTCTCTCTCTCTCGGCCGGCCGTCTCCGAGTCGACGTCGACGAATTAATGCACCTCCGCGAGACGCGCAGCTTATTATTTACCTTCAAGTGTTGTGTATCGCTTTATGTATGCGCGATACTCGAGGGAGAAGCCCGCGCGCCTTGTAAACAATCCTCGCGTCAAGTCGCGACGTAACAGCGGAGCAGCGCGCTTCCTGCCAAGTGTGTGCGCGTGGCGCGCGCGCGTGTGTGTGTGCGTACGCGGAAATGGGCTCCCGCGCCTGCGATTGGTCGCCGCCGCGATGCTTTATCACCAGTTATCACTAGAGCGCGACTCCGCAAACCGCCTATTTAGCGCCTCCGCGTTTGCTAAACACATGCGATTGTATTTGTATATTTTTCTGTATTTTTTTTTTATACATACAATTGTTTTCATATAAATATCTGCGAAAAACGATATAATTAATATGAGGTTTTATTTGTGTCTGAGATGTACGAGATGAGGAAGTTTTATTGATTTTTTTATAATTTATTTGTATTAATTAATTGCATTTGATTAACGAGATTAAATTCTTGTTCTCTCGGATTTTTCGTGATGTAATATTCATAATTTGCAGGTCAACAGATACTTATATATTATTTAATAAAATAGCGTCCCAGGAGACGCTATTTTATTTGACATTACGGTTTGAGAACCCCTGCCTTGCAAGGAACGATAATACGTACTTGTACTCTACAGCTGGAATAATTACACACTTGAAATAAAATATTTAATAGCATAGACGCAACGTAAGATTTTACGAATCTCGTGGATATTGAGATTTCAAGCGGTTTTTTTTACGAAATGAAAGCAATAATACAGCGAGTAACGAAGGCTTCAGTTTCAGGTAAAAATAAGTTTAGGTTGGACGTATTTTCTCTACTCCAAGAAATATATATCATTATATATTAACATATTTAGATTTATTTAAATTTTCCCTGTATGACAAATGAAATTTATGATGTGAGGAGAATTAAAAAAAAAAATATTTTCAATTTACGTCAAATTTATAGAAATTAGTATGAGGATAATGATGGTGTCATTCGATGACAGTAAGATCCGAGTGTAATTTTTCAGTTGACGGAGAAGTTATTAGTAATATTGGAAATGAAAATTTTCCCCGTATGACAAATGAAATTTATGATGTGAGGAGAATTTAAAAAAAAAATATTTTCAATTTACGTCAAATTTATAGAATATAGTATGAGGCTAATGATGGTGTCATTCGATGACAGTAAGATCTGAGTGTAATTTTTCAGTTGACGGAGAAGTTATTAGTAATATTGGAAATGGACTGTGCGTCTTAATTGGTATAAAGAGAGATGATGCAGCGGTAGATATGGAATACATGTAATAAGATGATGTTATCAAAAATCAATATACACAAAGTGCATGTATAATTTTACAACATAAATTTCTATGTCATAGAGTGAGAAAAATATTGAATACCAAAATTTTTGACGACGACAAGGGCAAAAAATGGGGTGCCAGTGTAGCAGATAAGAAGTACGAAATATTGTGCATTAGTCAATTTACATTGTATCATGTTTTGAAAGGAAATAAGCTAGACTTTCATAGAGCTATGCCTGCGCAAAATTCAGAACCCTTTTATATGAACTTTCTTGCTGAATTGCGTAGAAAATATGTCTCAGAATTAGTCAAAGGTAATGCAATTGTAATTTAAATTTATCTTGTATTTGTATGAATATATGCATGTGAAATAAATATGAAAAACATTTTTTTTAAACTTATTTTTGACAAATTTATGCAGATGGTAAGTTTGGCGCAATGATGGAAGTTTGCATACAAAACTCTGGGCCAGTAACATTGGAAATAGAATCCCCAGCTAGGTCAATTTCTCATGATGAAAGATTCAACAATAGAGAAGACGAAAGTGTCTTTTAATCAAAGATGTACTTATAATTAAACATTTATATACATATATGTTATATAACATATAAATAATTTAATAAACTTATATATCAAGTATAATACACATAAGTGCTTATTTAACCTGATATAATTGAAAACTAATTATTGATTTAAATTTCAAGAACAAAGTCAACTTTCGCATTCTTCTCTAATATTAACAGATTAGAAATTTATAGCATATTTCTTCATAAAATTTTTTAATATACTGTGTGTTAATTGTCATAAATCTAAAATGATAAAAATGAGTGAAATGATAAATTATTATTTAATATTTCATATAAAAATTTGTTCTGCAATTTTGTTTCAGATACTAGCTAGTGAGTTATAATTGTATTTTTTTTCAATAATCAATAATGGCAACCGAAAACAAGATTATTGCGCAAAACGAGGATAGCAAATCAGAAGAGCAAGATCAAAAAGGTATTTTTGATACCTTTGACTTATTTCAATATAAGTGTGCTATTTAAAAAATTATTTAACGTTGTGTTATTAAAAAAAATCTATTTTAGATGAAGAAATTGTGGAATCTAATGCAAAGAATGTAGAAGACAAAATAGATAAACCAAAAGTAGACAAATCATCCACTCCTAAAAAGGATGCATTTATCAATCAACAACAGGTATAATAATTTTGTTTTTCTTTTGTAAAATCAATGATGTCATTATCAATATTCTTATAATTTCTTTACAATTTCAGTCACGTGAAAGTCAAACAGATTCTGAAGATACAGAAACTGTGGAGCAGTTGAAAAATCAGTTGGGTGTATTAATGAACCAGTTAGCTACTCTATCAGCGGAAAAATCGAAAATGGAAGCGAATTTTCAAGTCGATAAGAAGCAATTGAGAAACGAGCGCGATGAAGTAAGATGAGAAATTTGATGAAATCTATTATCAGGTTTGCTCAACTAAATATTAATGTTTACAGTGTGAGAAAGTAATTAAAGATCTGAAAGAAAGACTAAAGAAGGCTCAAAATACCAATCATTCCGAAATCGAACACGTAAAGTGCAAATTAATTATGGAGCGGCACGACAGGGAGAAAGAACGTGCCGATTTTGTCAAGAAGATAAAGTATGTTAATGATTTGACTTTTTGTAATTATATAAAGTTAGCTATTTGTGTGATATTTGCAAATCCATATTAAGCTGATTCTCTCCATCAAATAAAGTCGAACCTATCAAATAATTTAGTATTAATTATGTGATAATTTATTGCCTCAGTCCAGATTTAATATGGGTTACTTGCAAGGGAGAAAAATCAATCTCTTGTAATACACTAATCTATAATAAAAAGTTCATGAAGTATGTTTTTACAGAGAACTACAAAAATTAGTATATGACGAGCAACGCAGCAAAGAGCAATTGGAAGGGCAATTGAAGACTCATCTCGCTAATAAGACCCAATGCAAGATTCTCGAAGCCGAACTTGAGATCACCAAGAACAAACTTAAACAGGCTGAAGAAGCAGCGAAGGAAACACCGCCGCTTCTTCTTTCCCTACAAGCTGAAATGGCCATGATGAAGAAGCAACATTTAAATGCAATTCGTGAAGTAAAAAGATAATCTCATCATGAAATCTTACTTAACATCTTATATATTTAATCAAATATAACAATCAGCACGTTTTGATGTAGGAGCAAAAAAGAGCCACTACTGCAGAGCAACAAGCAAGAGGATCAGCAATGATACATGAAGCAAGAGTGGCTTCTTTAGAGGCTCGATTAGCTGAACTCTCCGAGATTGTTGGAAGCTACGATAGACTGCGACAACAGGATCAATTAGCCATTCAAAAATTAAAAGACCAGTTAGCTGTTTTGCAAAATACTGAGCACAGCGACGCCATAATGTCGAATAATCAGCCAGAGGAAATTATTTCCAAGATAAAGACTCTGTTTACTCGTTTGCTGGATCTCGATAATCAGAAGAAAGATTCAACATATGTAAAATGTAAATGCTATTAATTATATAACGATAAAATAAGAATGAAATTTAAGCAGATAATTTAATTACGCGTTTTATTTTTAGCGTTACTGAATAGTTTAGATCTGCGAGATGAACATCTCGATTACAAGGAGAAGTACGACGCGCTTTTACAAGAATTTGAAGATTACAAGCATCAAATGATATACAAATATAACATGTCTAATATTCGTGGTGCTCAACAACAAAGACAGAATCTGTCTCTGACACATGATAAGGATCATGATAAGACTCAATTGAATCTCCTCAAAGTGCATAGTAGCAATTTAGAGGAAAGGATACGTATGATTAGCAACGAAATGTTAAATAAAGAAAGAAATTTGCAAGAGCAATTGGATCATCAACAAAAAGTAACTATCTTAATAACAGTAAATTAAAAATTAAATTTATTTCTTGACAAAGTTATCCATATATTTAATCATTTTAAATTAAATTTGCGTTTATATTAAATTAAAATAAGGAATCGTATATTGTATATTTTTTTAGTTGCTTCAAGAGGAACGTTCAAAATTGGAGCATACATTACATCAGAAAGACATCGAATATCGTAATAGAATATCTATCTTGGAACAACAATTACTCCGACAAAGAGAGAGGTCTATGGCTCTGGTGGAGGAAAAAGATAAAGAAATATTGACTTTAAAAACGTCATTTCGCGCGTTACTACCTAATAAAGAGACTGCTGCTGCAACAGAAACTAAAACACATCTAAATAGATACGAGAATATTGTCGAACCAGTTACTGATTTGGTCACAGGATTACTGACGAACGACAGTCCTCCAATATTGCATTATACTCAGGAATTGGCTAGGAAAGAGATACAAGTGTCATCTTCAAGGAAAAAGGTTTTGGAATTGGAAGCATCGTTAAGAGAACAGCAGAGAGAAATACTTCATATGAAAGAGCAACAACAGGAGGAAACTAAATCTTTAAAAGCGCATATCACTAGGTAATTATTATATAAACTAAAAAATATCAATATATGTATATTTACAACAATATATATTACTTTATGCTTATAAATACAACTTTTAAAAAATTTGTATTGCAGGCTGGAAGCATGCAAGTCGAGAGAAGGTGCCAATCTGGAATACTTGAAGAATGTATTCATAAATTACTTAACAACAAATGATGTATCCAGTAAACGGCACATGTTAAATGCTATTTCAACAGTACTGCGTTTCACAGCAGATGAGCTTAGTAAAATCAAACATTAATATTAGATATTTTTACTATTGATATAATATATTTCTCACATAGAAAAAATAAATACATTGGAGCGGATTTAACTATGATTTAATACTAACAATAAGATTAAGTTTCTTCTTGAGCCTTCAATTCTTCTAAGAGCCGTTTGCGTTCCTCTGCTCTTCTTAAATTAGATAATACAGAACTTTCAAACTCTGCATCTGATACCCTTGCTTGCTGCGCCTATATAAATGTAAAAATATTACATATAACAGAGTAAACAATAATTTTAGTTCTGTTACACTGAATTAAAATAATACGTACAAATATATCAGGTGCAGAAGAAAAGCTGAGAGTTGAGCTTATTTTACTTTTTATATGTGTATTTGTAGGAGATGGTTTTCCAACGTTTGTACTATTTGTAGTAGTAGCACTTGAACGATTTCGTGTATCCCATAGACCACGAAGTATTAGTGGATTTTCAGCCAATCCAATTTCTGCTAAAAGGGCTGTCTCCTGAAACGAATATTGCATTAAAAAATTTTATTATAAAATTATATATATATGATTTAAAATTACATTATTCCACTATAAAATATTTGCTTACTGCTGCACTTTTATCTCCAAATTCAACCATTGCTCTGCCTTTCTTTGCAGATGACACAACAAGAGCTGCTACTTCTCCATACTGTAAAAAAATAGAAAATAAGAATACTCAAAAGTTCTATAATTAACTATAACTTTTTGGAATTGAAGGATTGATAATTACTTTTGAAAACATGATATATAGATTATCATAGTTGTAGCCACCATTTGTCGAATCACCTTCTTGTACCTTCCATCTAATTTTGATTCTAAAATCTCCTGTGTTAGACTTTGAATCCTTTGAAGAACCATGAAGCTGCTCCCAAATTTGTCTTTGTACAAAGGCTATCTCTTCCTCAACTTGTTTGGATCCTTCTTTTTGTAATCTTTCTATTTCAGCCTAAATAATTATATATTTTACAAAGATCTAGAGTATAATAAATCTCTAATAATAATTTAAAAAATATTAAAACATTGAAGAAATTGATTGCATACTTTCAATCGTTCCTCGTCAGATTTGGTATTATATGTAGGATCTAATGTCCTCCTATAAGCTTCCTCGCGTGCCTCCAACTCTTCCTTATATTTCTTCCTCTTGACATCAAATTCTCTAATACGTTCCTTTGCTTGTTTTCTGGCAGCGATAACTTTATCATATGCTTCCTTGTTTTGTGATAATACATTTTAATAAATTAGACTAGTTACAAGACTTTCTGAAAGTCCATAAGAGATGCATTTATACTATATAATATATACTAATAAACTTTAAAGAAATGTTACTTACTCTAGCTTTTGTATCTGTTAATATTTCTAGTGCCCTTGAAAGTTCGTGAAATAATTCTGCTGCTCTAGGATTATCAGGATTTTTGTCAGGATGACAAGTTAAAGCTTTTTTACGATACGCCTTTTTAATCTAAAAACATGAATAAATATAATTACATATAATTTACTATATTATTTAGTGTTAATATAATATTACTATACTACAAATAATTTAATATATTATTCATTAAAAAAAATATAAAGTATTTAATTCTATTACTGTATATTTGTAAAAAAAACACAAATTACCTCCGCAAGTGGAGCTTGAGGCTCTATACCAAGCATCTCATATAAATCCATTGTAATTTCATCCATTCTTGATATCGATATTTAAAATAAAATAAGTATACTTTTACAGTGACTGTTTAAAAGTAAATTATAAGCTCTCATAAATTGTAGGTTAATTCTTGCCTCATCGAATAATGTTAATGCACGTGTTTACGTTTCCTCGAATGATTTTATATGTATGTGTATGTGCGTTACAATGCGTTATCAGTGCCTTATTTATCAGTCTATACGTCAAATAAATTACAAAATAGGCTCAAACGTATGACACGAGATGATCGCGAAGAATCTACTCCGAGGAATTTCGCGCTTTCAACGCGCTCTATTGAAGGTATTATTATTATATATATATATATAGCATAAATAAAGAATCCTTATTTATAATATTTGTTATTATATTAATAAATTTTCCTAAAATTTAATTAACATATGCATATCCTTATGATGAACATCCCAGATAGCCACAGTAATTATTATGACATCAAAATGCATTATTTTGATGGCAAATGATGCATTTTGACATCAAAATGATGTCATAATAATTACTGTGGCTATCTGGGATTCTATATCAAACATTACAATATTTAGATCATTTTATATAATTATTTTTATTGTTCTAGAAAAGTATTTGAGTTAAAATAATTTGTATACTTTTGTTTTATTTTTAAATAAGTAATTTAATTACACATTCTATATATTCTTTTTATTTTACTCATATTTCTTTTTATTTGTTATAGCTTAAATTTTTAAAGATTTTATATAAATATAACATAAAAGCTGTTTTTATGAATCAAAATAAATATCTTTAATCTTTTAGAATATTTATTATAATAAATATTGGTATTTCTTTATTGAAATTTTATATGATTATTTTAGGTAAAACAATACAGCACTACGACGAACGAGCCGCAATTCCTGGGAATTAATAATGCTTTTACCAATAATATTCAGTTTGTCAATAAAGAAAGTTATGAATCGATTCCAATATACAGGATTTTAGAACCTTCCCAGAAGGCTGAATTGCCCAAAGATGAAAAGGTTTGATTAGAAGAATAATATAAATTTATAAACAATTAATTATAAATATGTCTCATTTTTATATATGTTACTTTATTTTGTATAACAATATTAAAAAAAATTAAAATATAGTCACTATAAATCTAATATGTTAAGTTTAGTAAATACTAACTACAAAAACATAATTTTGCATTAAGATAGACAATGTTTCAAAATAGAAAACTGAACATTACATTTCTTCTACAGCTGAGTGAGACATTTTTGCTGAAAATGTATCACGATATGATGACTATAAACATGATGGATAAAATCCTATATGAGTCGCAAAGGCAAGGTCGCATCTCATTTTACATGACAAACACTGGTGAAGAGGCTGTGCAGATTGGTTCTGCTGCTGCTTTGATTCTAGAAGATATGATTTACGCGCAATACCGCGAAGCTGGTAAGAAATTATACTGTGTATTACCCATTTATCATGTATATACATCTAAGTTATCATATTTAATTTAACAGGCGTTTTACTACACCGTGGATACCCATTATTGAAGTTTATGAATCAATGTTATGGCAACTCCGAGGATGAGGGTAAAGGCAGGCAGATGCCAGTGCACTACGGTTCCAAGGAATTCAATTTTGTGACTATATCATCTCCGTTGGCAACCCAACTGCCACAAGGTAAGCATACATTTAATTGCGTACATAGTGTCCTTACAAATTTTATATAAAATACAATTTACAAATAAAATTCAACTAAATTGCTATTTTGCCAATTAGAAGAGTTTTGTGCATAGCATATATTTTAATCATATTCATAAAGCAAAGTAATATTGATAATGCTGTTTCACGAGGTAAGCTAAAATAGAAATTTTGATTTCCACAGCTGCAGGAGCTGCCTATGCCTTTAAACTGGATAAAAGGGATGCATGTGTAGTCTGTTACTTCGGCGAAGGTGCGGCTAGTGAGGGTGATGCCCATGCAGCGTTCAATTTTGCAGCTACTCTTTCATGTCCCATCATTTTTATCTGGTAACTTCAATAATTTAGAATCTTATATTATGAAATGTAATGAAATATTTTAACTGAAATAATGTTTTAGTCGAAATAACGGATATGCCATTTCTACACCAGTCTTTGAACAATTTAAGGGAGATGGTATCGCAGCTAAAGGTCCAGCTTATGGAATTAGTACAATCAGAGTGGACGGTAACGACGTGCTCGCAATGTATCATGCCACAAAAACTGCACGAGACTTTTGCATAAAGCAACAGAAACCCGTTTTGATAGAAGCCATGACTTATAGGTGAGAAAGAAATATTTTCTTCGTTATAATTTTATATAAAATTTCGCAGTCTTCTTCGTTACTTATTAAAAAAAAAGAATATTTTCTGAAATAAATTTTTTATATGATAAAATTCTATACTGTAAATATTTTCTAGAATCGGACATCACAGCACATCGGATGATTCCACGGCTTATCGATCGGCCCATGAGATCGCTCGATGGAATATTCATACGCCACTTGCTAAATTCCGTTTCTATCTAGAGTCGCTGGAATTATGGTGTCAAGAAAGAGATAAAGAATTAATCAATTATATTAAAAAGGAAATTCTTCGTGTCTTTAACGAAGCAGAAAAGAAATCTAAGCCATTTTGGAAAGATATGTTTACAGATGTCTACAAGGAAATTCCTGATCATATTAGGTTTATATATATTATATATATATACATATATATTAGTTTATATAGATATAATTAATTGAAATTGTGAGAGTATCTCTTTCAATACTTTTCCAATATATTTCAGGAAACAAATGAATCTAATGGAAAAGCATCTAGAAGAATTCAAAGAACATTATCCATCAAATTGTTTTGCACGTAAAAAGTAAGGAAAGAAAATCTGTTATACAAATGATATAATATTATTTTATATGTATATTTTAATAATAAAATGTTAAACAATTAACCTACTGTACAAAAGAGCATTCTTTAAAGTCTCTTTGTCCCTTCTACTGCTTTATGTTATCTGCCACTTCTTTATATTTTTCCATCCTGTATTCTTTCTTTGCTGCATCAAGCAGCAAGTTGTGAAGTAAATTTCGTTCATGTGGATTATATTGCTCCAAACTTGGATATACATTACCTGAAAAATCGAATCACGAATTAAAGTAAGTAAATCTTTAGTGTGCCTTGTTGAAAAATTTCTTTGTAAGACCTACCTCTAAGTTCTAAAATTGATCTGTTAAAGTGGCCTATAGGAAATATATTTGGTGCCTTGTGAAGTTTTGTAAAAGATGTGGTATAATTTTGATATCTTGGCACAAGAACTTTGAACAGCTTGTGCACCAGTTGCTTCTCGATTATCCAGAAATTTGCCAGATCCATTGTCTCCTTGTGCATAGGTCCATGACGTATAGCTTGGAATATCAACTGCAATATAATGCCATTATGAAAATTCCACTACCAGATATGCAAAATAAAGTGCTAGCTATATTATTAAATACGCGCGCGAATTGCAATATATATTGAAGAATTATGAATATAATAATTATTTTATTAAAATTAAATTAAAAAGAAATTCTCTTTACAATCAAAATATTTTTATTATATTTATTATAATTATTTTTATATTTTTATGTTATAACAATAAATTGCTGTTTTTATTTTTAGAGAGTAATGCTGAAATAAATATATAAAATAAATAATCATTGATAAAAAGAGCGTACCTGGTCAACATAACCTCTGGTCTCATCGCCCCTGGGATAATTCACCTCGAGTCGTTCGTATTTAATCAATGCTGTTAGAGTTTTTCGGATTTTAAGAAGACGTCCCTCTGGACCATCGGGTTGTCGAAGCCTTCGACGTGGGTTGACATTGAATCTTAATCTGTTTACTAATTTCTCGATGTTGGGTTGATTCATCTTTGCTCTGATTTCTAACCTAAAATCTACTCCAGAACTGACTCACATGTACATGTCGAAATGTCGTATTTCACATATATATGTTAATAAAATTATATATTTATATATAACACGTATTTTTATATTTATTGAGAGGCAATCTTTTAAAAACTTGTCTTGAATAATCTTGAACGAATATTAATCTTGTTATTTTAAAATAATATATACTTTATATATATATTGCAATATATTCTGAATAATAACAATTTATTATATAATGATGTAATTACATTAAAAATTATTCTTTGTAATATACATGTATATATATAAAATAAGAGTTTGCATTATATTTCACGATTTTTTTATATAGTTATATATTGAATATCTTTTAATATTTTTATTTTGGAAATATTTGCAATTCTTATATATTTCCTAAATTGAAATTACGAGAATTGTATTATACTGTCATTGCCATGGGCGCGGGCAGAATTATTTTTAGGGAGGTGCACCCAAAAGAGGATGCACTGGAAAGTTTTTTTCCCAGTTTATAATTATATTATTGTTAACATCATTTATGTTATTTATTGAATCTTAATAAAGATGCATTAATAATTAAAAAATTCTAATTTTTATATTGCAGATTTGTTAATATAGTTAAAGAATTGCAGTTTTACAATTGCAAATGTTATATTTAACCATCACATTTTTGTTCCATTAAAAAATTATAATCGATATTATTCTATATTACATGATTTTTTTACTAAATATTTTCTCTGTTACTTCCCCATTTATTTTATAGAACAGAGCCAGAGGGGTGCAAATGCACCGCCTTGCACCCCTTTGTAGCGCCCATAGTCATTGTATTTATCACTAGACAACTTTTTATACATAATGTAATGCAGAAAGTTAAACAATATTAAGTTGAACAATATTAAAGACTCTAAAGTTCAAACAATAAGTCGAACAATATTAAAGACTATTTCACTATGCCTTTTATTTTTTACTCTCGAAATTACAATATAACAGGCAAGATATATTAAAGATAATAAACGCGATAACCACCGCGTTTCCCAGCAACAGAAATAATGTAACTATTATGTATAAATAATTGCTCATTCAATTTCTCTCAATCGTTTGTTCACAACGAATAAAATGCCGCACGACACCACAGTATGTTAATTCTCAGTAAAAATTACGAGGAACGATGATTTGTATACATATATGTGAATATAGAGACAGAGGATGGACTAGACCGAGATGCATGCTGCATTAATTTTGTGTAATTTATTACATTGAGCGATTTGAATTTATATTTCAAATTTTATCTCGTGCAAGAATTGCTCTGATTGTGTGGAATTACACATACTTGATTTACACGAATCCACATTCGATCAAAATCGTTCACTACATTTACAATTTTGTGTAAAATCTCGTGATGAACAAGTTACACTAATAATTGAGCAGAAGACTCAATTAATACATTTCCTGATTTGGATAGTTCTATATGTGTCTTTATATCCATGTGTATGTGTATGAATACATGATAGTCTATCGTTGAACAGGCGGTGCCATTGGAAGACCCGAGGTGTTGACGCCGGACAAAGCTGTGTTAGGGCCTAAGAGAACTTGCTTCTGTTGCGTACGTTGCAAGTCTTCCATCTGTGCGCGTTCCATCTCAAAAATAATCGGCGCGAAGAGAATAGTGGACGAACTGAAGACCAGCCATGTAGCAGAACACGAATATGCATATAGACCTGTGTAAAAAATATATTTACACACTATCCTATAAAACACTATAAAATTTATCCTCGTTCTACACAAATTTTTAATTTTATTATTATATATTATTAGTATATATATATATATATATATATTAATACTTTTTTAATGTGTATCTCAAAGAAAAATAGCATTACCTTTAACACATGTATAAAGGCAGGTTCCAACATTATATCCAAAGTTGCGCACTGGTTCAGGGAACATTTCAGTAAGTCCTAATAATCGCTCCGTTAAGCTTTCATCCTTGGGAAATGTATGGAAAATATTTTATCAATTTATCATATCTCAAAAACAATCTTTTCTTCTGTTATTAGGAATAATAATACTCTGAAAGGTGCTATACTCATAAGGTCAATGTACATCTATAATTGTCTCTCGTACCCTCCAATTTTGTCTAATTAAAAAAAGTAGCATACGTACATAAATTATGCATGATATCAAGAGAGGGACCAAAGCTTTCTTTCATTATTAAAAAATACCTTGGGTTAGTCATAATAATGCGAAATATACGTAATCCCCGAAGATAGTACATCGTCCCATCTTTTACACCCTATTACATATATTTTACACGTTTCTCGATGTACGATTATCTTACAAGTCATCATCTTTCTTTCCCCCTCATATAAAGGCACGTTGCTGCTTATACCTCCTCGTCATCGTCCTCGTCGTCGGGGAGGAGCGACTTCACCTCGGGGGAGCGCACGTCGCTGCTGCCCATGCCGCTGTCGACCTGATGATCCAACTCCTCAATTGAAGCCATATATACACGAGGGTGAGCGTGAACGTGCCTCGCTTCCCAGATGTGGTTCAAGAACAGCGCGGCCCAGGATCCCGCACACGGCGTCGAGCAGCACGTTCACGAGAGCGGTGCGGTGCACGCATGCACACTCTCTCTCTTTCTCTTCCCTCTTCACTCTTGCGCGCATGCGCGCCTCGAGCCGGGAAACGTCAAAAGTACGACGCGATTCAAGTTTCGGATTCGCGCGCGCGATACGAATAGCGGAGAGGAGCGGACGCGATGATTTTTCTACCTGCAGATGATGTTCTCCGGCAATGACATTTCCTCGACAACGAGGAATTCTAATCTGTCACTTCGAGGAAGGTGAGAATTGCGCGAAAGTAGATTAAGAAGAAGAAAAAATTCAGAAATTCGTACGTTCTTGCGATGAGTTGCGTAACAACGAACAGGGATGCTCAAATCTTTTTGTAATCGCCGATATATTCGGAGAACTGCGCTTCGAGGGTAATTATTTATTAGCTTGATTCTAATTATTTACTAAGAGCGTCCTTATATTTACTCTCAAATGCACGGTATTTAAAAAATTTAATTTGTTCTATTTGAAATAAAGTATTTTTTTTAATTTCATATATGAGAACATCTGTATAAATTAAGCGATAAAAATTGGTGATAACGATGATATATGCATGCACACGTTCGTGTGACACATTTTTTTTACATGAATAACATTAAGTGCTTTATATACATGATAAGCGTTTTATATATATATAATATGCACCATTTAAAAAAAAATTATTTTAATTTATTTTAATTTTATTATTTTATTATATATATAATTTTATTATTTATTAAATAATTTTTATTTATATTCAAAATATATTATAAAAAATAATAGGACAAAAATAAAAATCAATGAAGCTTATAATTAAAAATAAATAACCTATAAGATAAATAAAAAAGCAATCAATTTAATGTGTAATAAATTTATTAAATTCACTCTATAAAAAATTATTATATTTTGACATATATATATATTAATTACAATTGTATTTTATAATAACAATTAAAGACGAATAAATGGAGGGACCGAATGACGACGAGCCACCGCTTTGAATATATCCTGTTATATCGTTCTTTCATCGTGATGTGCGGCCGATCATCCGGCGACGGGGCGAGACGTTGGACCCAGGTGCGACAGTCGAAGCGAAGAAGCGAGGGAAGACGGCGGTTATCGCGCGCCCACATGGCACCGCGATAAGATCGGCACGACAGGCATCCTGATCGAATGGACGCGGCGCATCGCGATACCGATACTTAGCGGGAACCCGGAGGTGTACTTTCCTGTATTCGGTGGGACACGCACGTCGTCGTCGTCGTGCGGCAACCACCCGGCGCGATGGCGAACACCGGAGTGTTGCCGTTCGTGCGAGGCGTGGACTTTAGCAGCAACGACTTCGGCGTGAGTACGCGGGGGATTTAACGGGGGATTAACCTCAAACCAGAGACTCCAAAGTGTCCAGTCAGATATGTCTTTCTATTGGATTGCTGTGTGATTTCTATGTCTCTGTTTTTTTTTTTTTTTTATATATTTATTTGTAACTTTGTTAATTTAATAGTTGGAGTATTCATGATTTACAGATAAAAGTGTGATTCATCGATACCTCAATATAAGAAAAAAAAGTAATTTGTAATAACTGAATGATAAGCTATTTTTTTATCTGTCAATGTTTAAACACAACTAAGCTTAGGACTCGTTACATGAATAGCAGTCAAGTATAATAAAGTTTATTTTAATATTTGCAGGATGACAAATTTCCTGAATCCGTGCGTCTTATGACTGGAATACAATGGTTGAAATTAGACAAAACAAATTTAACAGAGATTCCGGAGGAAATGGGCAAATTATTGAAATTGGTAAAGCAATATTTATATATAAAATAAGTAATATATTAGTATTAAAGAATAATAGTAGAATTAAAGTATTATATTTTAATAAATTATTTACTATTATTATTATTCTTCTGTTTAAAAAAATATATATAATTATTTTTTTATATGAATTTATTAAAGAAAATTTATAGTATTATTTATATAAATGCATTTTAATACAATAATTTAATCATCTGACAGGAACATCTGTCACTTGTCAAAAACAAGTTGGAACGCTTGTATGGAGAATTGACAGAATTAGGGTGTCTCAGAACATTGAATATAAGGCATAATAATATAAAATCTAGCGGTATTCCAGCGGAATTATTTCACTTAGAGGAATTGACAACGTTAGATTTAAGTCATAATAATTTGAAGGAGGTACCTGAAGGTCTAGAGAGAGCACGTTCTTTGCTCAATCTTAACTTAAGCCATAATCAGTATGTATTTATATTAACTAAATATGTATATATTATAATTATATTTAAGCAGAAAAATAGTGAGAAAATTCTGACTTTATTTTTATTTTTTCAGTATCGAGACTATACCAAATACATTGTTTATCCACTTGACAGACTTATTGTTTTTGGATCTTAGTCACAATAAATTAGAAACAGTGCCACCACAAACTCGACGTTTGGCTAATCTACAGACTTTAAATCTGAATCATAATCCTTTGGGTCATTTTCAATTAAGGTAAGAATAATACTGCTTGTGCGTATCAATCTTAGAATATTTTTAAGAAGGATTCTTTATTTTCAATTATTTCAGACAACTGCCATCATTGATGAATTTAACGACGTTACAAATGCGGAACACACAACGAACATTGAGTAATATACCTTCTAGTCTAGAAACTCTAACCAATTTGCAAGAACTCGATTTGTCGCAAAATAATTTACCCCGAGTGCCCGATGCACTTTATTCCTTATCGAATTTACGTCGTTTAAATCTCAGTGACAATCAGATAATAGAATTATCAACAGCCATCGGTGAGTAACTTGCTTTACAATTATTTTATCTATGTAATTGAATAAAATAATAAGATTTACATATTTTTCAGAACTGTGGATGAAATTGGAAACTCTGAATGTGTCACGAAACAAATTAAGTGCAATACCAGCTTCTCTGTGCAAGATTTTCACATTAAAAAGATTGTATTTAAATGATAATGAATTGGATTTTGAGGGTATACCTTCTGGAATAGGAAAATTATCGTCCTTGCAAGTATTCTCTGCTGCTAACAATCATTTAGAAATGATACCAGAAGGATTATGCAGGTAAGAATCATTTTTTATTATTTCTTCCTATTTATTTTACTGTAAAAGGAATAGAAATCTTCTTCTTTAATAAAATATTGTAAAGAGAATTATATTTTTTTAGATGTGGCTCATTAAAGCAATTAATATTAACATCGAACCGATTAATCACTGTACCAGACGCCATTCATCTTCTTACCGATCTAGAACAGTTGGATTTGCGAGACAATCCAAATTTAGTGATGCCACCAAAACCGACAGAAGTGCAAAGGGGATCAGGCATCGAATTTTACAATATCGACTTCTCGTTGCAACATCAGTTGCGTCTTGCTGGTGCTAATGTACCAGTTCCAGTTCAAGCTGCTAGTATGTATTATGATTATCAAATACATTGCTTCAATTTGATGAAGTAAACTGAACAGATTTAATATTATGCATTTTGTTTCATGAATTTGTACATTTTCGATTTTAGACAGTAAAGATCCAATCGCACGTAAAATGAGATTAAGAAGAAGGAGAGATCAGGAAGAGGCTGATCAAGATCAAGCCAAGATACTTAAGGTATACGATTATATTTCATAAATTATTATACAGTAGAGTGTACACAAAGAAACGATGAAACAACTATGATTATTTTTAGGGCATGAAAGATATAGCAAAGGAAAAGAATAAAGATAAAGAATGTGAGGAATCGAAAGCAGAATCCTTAAAGTAAGTAGGATCTATACATTTTTTTGTAGCAAGGTTTTTCAATAAATTTCTGTGACACTGCAGCATCACGAAATCAAACAATTATTTTATTAGACCCAAGCGATGGGACGAAGCTTTAGAGAAACCACCACTAGACTACTCCGAATTTTTTGACGAGGATGCTGGTCAAATACCCGGGCTATCGATTTGGGAGATAGAAAACTTTCTGCCAAACGAGATCGAAGAGGTAGCGCATGGCAAGTTTTACGAAGGCGATTGTTACATCATCTTGAAAACCGGGATAGACGAAGGTGGATCATTGACCTGGGCGATCTATTTTTGGATTGGAGAAAAGGCAACGGTAGGTTGTATTTTCAAACTGATACAATAAAAAAATAGTTACACATACTAAGAATTATTTCACGCGGATAATCGCGCACGATTAATTTTACTATAATTTACATCCACAGTTGGATAAGAGAGCGTGTGCGGCGATCCATGCTGTGAATCTGAGGAACTATTTAGGCGCACAATGTCGGACGATTAGAGAGGAACAGGGAGATGAATCAGATGAATTTCTAATGCTGTTTGATTCGGGTATCACATACATCGAAGGCGGGCGAACGTCGTCTGGTTTTTACACGGTGGAAGATACAGTAAGCATCTAATTCTTTCTTATATGTGTGCCATAATTTTGAAAAAAAATTGAAATTACCTCAGGATTACAATTTTTCCAGCCGGCAATTACTCGTTTATGCAGAGTACACGCGGCAGGAGCGTCTATACACCTGGAACCAGTTCCAGTCTGTATCGAATCTTTGGATCCTGGTTATGTATTTGTTCTTGACATAGGAAACAAGATATTCATATGGTATGGAAAGAAAGCAAAAAGCACCCTGAAATCCAAGGCGCGACTGATGGCGGAGAAAATTAATAAGAACGAACGGAAAAATAAAGCTGAGATTATAACGGAAGTTATGAATACCGAGTCGGAAGATTTCCTGCTACATTTAGGCGTGGAAGAGGATGAACGGAAAGATCTACAAATAATTGTAAGCTTCCTTTTTTAATAATTTAACAACACAATAAAAATAAGTTTACAATTAGAAGAAAAAAATTGAAGTTTTATCTAATCTGTTTATATAATGTAATTATTTCTTATTTATAATTAATATTTCATACATAATTATTTCTTATTATTGTAATAATTTCGCTTATTTTTACTTGTTAATAGGAACATGTAGATCCAAATTTTGTGCCTCTTGCACCTAGATTATATCAAGTTCAACTCGGAATGGGCTATCTGGAATTACCGCAGGTCGAAGTTCCTCATGGAAAATTAACAAATACCTTGCTAAATAATCGCAATGTGTACATATTAGATTGCTATTTAGATGTATATGTTTGGTAAGTATAAAGAATTTAAATTTAAATTTAAAACATACGTTGATTGATTAACATTTGCACATATAATTATAGGTTTGGTAAAAAATCAACGAGATTAGTGCGCGCCGCTGCTGTAAAATTATCTCAAGAATTGTTTAATATGATAGAAAGGCCGGAATACGCAATGGTAACAAGATTACAAGAGGGTACTGAATCCCAGGTACAAATACGTACTCTTATAATCACAATTTGCAATCTTTTATCATTGGAATATTTTTTAAGCATATGTATTTTATGTATATAGATCTTCAAATCTAAATTTATTGGATGGGACGAAGTAATCGCTGTGGATTTCACTAGAACGGCTGAATCAGTCGCTAAAACTGGTGCAGATCTCACTAAATGGGCTAAGCAACAAGAAACAAAAGTACGTTCAAATATTTTAAGTAAGAATTTGATTTTTGCTTTAATATCTCTTATTTTTTATTACTTTTATTAATTGTCGCTTATTTTTAGGCGGATTTGGCTGCTTTATTTATGCCGCGTCAACCGCTGATGTCGGCTACCGAAGCGCATCAACTTATGACGGAGTGGAACGAGGATTTGGAAGGAATGGAAGCGTTGGTGTTGGATGGAAAAAAATTCGTACGTCTGCCAGAGGAGGAGCTAGGACACTTTTACAGTGCAGATTGTTACGTTTTCTTATGTCGGTACTGGATGGTATGTAGATGCATTACACTTTATTTTAGGAAAGTTAAAGAAATTATGATTCTAATATTCGTTTGCTTTTAATTAAATCAGCCACTAGATATAACGGAGAACGAAGATGGTGAGGAGCAATACGAAGATGATTATCAGTGTACAGTGTATTTTTGGCAAGGCAGAGATGCAGGAAACATGGGATGGTTAACGTTTACATTTAGGTAAAAATTATAGATAATTATTTATCAAGAAACGATGAAAATTTTTGTATCTTATACTGTTTATCTGTTTCAGTTTGCAAAAGAAATTTAAATCATTGTTCGGCGAAAATTTGGAAGTTGTGAGAACACATCAGCAACAAGAAAATCTAAAGTTCATGAGTTATTTCAAACGGAAGTTCATCATTCATCAAGGCAAACGGAAACAGCCGAAACCTGCGGGTAGTAACAAAGTGGAATTTTATCATCTGCGAAGTAACGGTAGTGCCTTATGTACTCGACTTATTCAAATATCGGCAGATTCAACATTATTAAATTCTGCGTTCTGGTGAGACATCCGATTACACACGATTACATTGAATATTTATATTTTATTTATACTTTATATTTATGTTTACAGTTATCTCTTAAATGTGCCATTCAACAATTCTGATGAAGGAACCGGTATTGTGTATGCGTGGATTGGATCGAAAGCTGATCCTGAAGAAGCTCGTTTAATCGGAGAAATTGCAGAGGAAATGTTCAATAATGTGAGTTATAAATTATGAATTTGCATGAGACGAGTTATATAAATATCTATCAAAATATTTTTTAAAAAACATTTAAAAAAAGATATTTCTTGTTTCCTTTATGTATATAAAATAAATTTTTGTATATTGTTTTTGTGAAGAATAAATAATAATAATAAATAATAATACAAAATAAATAAAACAATAATACAATTAAATAAAATATTACAGCCTTGGATAAGTTTGCAAGTGTTAAACGAAGGCGAAGAGCCAGACAATTTCTTCTGGGTGGCACTTGGAGGAAAGAAACCATACGACACTGATGCAGAATATATGAATTATACAAGACTATTTAGATGTTCTAATGAAAAAGGATATTTCACCATTAGCGAGAAGTGCACCGATTTTTGCCAAGTAAATTTCTATATATATATTGATATTTAGCTCCTTATGTTTTTCGATTTTTATGAAAGAACAATGATGATAACATGGTTTTTTGCAGGATGATTTGGCAGATGATGATATAATGATCCTTGATAATGGAGAACAAGTGTTTCTCTGGCTAGGCACTCGTTGTTCGGAAGTCGAAATCAAATTGGCCTATAAATCAGCTCAGGTGAATTATACAATTTTCATTGTTATGATTCTTGCGAAAATATTGCCAAAAATATTCAATCGCAAAATAAATTTTAAACAGAGTCAGGATAATGTAAAATTGATCAATATATCATTTATTTTTCAGGTATATATTCAACACTTGCGCGTGAAGCAACCCGAGAAACCCCGTAAGTTATTTTTAACTGCCAAAGGTAAGGAATCCAGGAGATTCACGAAATGTTTTCACGGTTGGGGTTTACACAAAAGACCGCCGCAGTAAAATCGAGTCAGTTTTCACTCTCTACGCTTAAGGTTTGGAATAGTTTTATACACAGGTCAAATGAACACAAGCGTAACATTAGATTTGTAATGTATCGCGATCTTGTTTTTCTCGTTTTTACTCGCACTTCGCAATCAAACGGAAGTCAATCCATCGCAATAATCTGTGTATCTTTGATGCAAACAATCGATCTAAATGAGAAAATATGATAATTGCTCACTAAATAATAATATATCTAATTTACGAAGCTTATATTTTCGCGATTGCTTTTGACTAACTTGAATAATTCTTTATGCTATCTTGAGCACATATTATTTACTACTATGGATCAATCTGTTTGGCGTATATAATTCAATCCAGATTTATTTTATCAGTAGATGGGCACTTGTTCGATTTATGTCTGATACAGTTTTTCTATCAAAAAAACTTGTATTTTGGACTTTAACAAGATTCTTTGTGATGAGATTCTCTTCTACTTTATTACACACTAAAAAGAAGATTTATCTGCCTTATTCATTATAATCTGTGTTCTGTGTATTCAACAAGACTTATTTATTTATTTATACACATATTTATGAACTTTCGTACAGACTAGACTGTGTATCTGCTTTTATTTCTTACAATTTTGTTTCAGATAACTAATGTGATTGTACACATTTTTTAAATTATTCGATGAATTGTGATACAAATTTTATCGTCGAATTGTAATATTAAAAAAGCTTTTTTTTAGGGGGAAATATCAATCTTTTTGTAAGAAGGATAAATTCATTATTTGTATAGTGTTAAAAGAGTTGAAATAGAGTCTTTTCACGAGTTTTCTAGATTTGTGCTATGCGCCTCTAGTAAATATTATTAAAATGTCAATTCTAAGCAGGCTATTGAAAATCGCATTTAGAAATTTGTGAATATTCATCGAAGACTGAAAAGAGATACGTGTAATTATAATAGCATGTACATCTGATATAAAACGCCACTCGATTGTATAGATGCCATAACGAGCGTTTTTGTATTACTTACACTGTATTTAACATATAATTCAATTTATTTATATACATTATATATATATATATATATATATTATATTTAGATCAAGACACAATAGAGTGTCTTGCGCCAAGTCATGCACAACAACAGCAAAGTTTATACATAGATTTTTTTAAAAGATCTACTTAGCTTCCAACAACTGTATAAATAAATATTTCTATGATAATTTACATAATCTCTCTCAGGTATTAGAGTATATCATAAATAAGATACCTAAGTTGCATAAGCGAAGAAATTTCTCTCCCTGCATTACTTGAATTCGTATCATTACTGCTCTTGTATCACTGTGGCATCAAACGACTCTGAAAATAAGCCAGTGCATTAAATTTTAATATATATATAAGAATTAATCATATCTGATGTTTCGACAAAGATTTTGTAAAATCTAATATCAGTAATCTTAGAATCAATAAATTATTAAAATATATAGCACAAAATATAAGCTATTGCTTCCAAAGCAATTCTAACTGCAGCATCAAATGACTCTAAAAATACTTAAGTCAGTGCAAGAGTTTTAATGTATACGTAAGAATTAGTCTCATATTTGATTTTTTGATAAAGATTATTTTGTAAAATTTAATATCAGTAACCTTAGAATCAATAAGTTATTAAAATACATAGCATAAGGAATATAAACCAATTGCTTCCAAAGCAATCCTAACTTTCAATGGAAATGTATAATTTTTTAGTACATTTATATTTTACCTACAAGTTTAAAATATTTCAAGAGTAGACACAACCGCTCGTTTTACATATAAACGTAACATTAAGATCTTTAAATACAATATATTATTGTTTGGAAGACATGAGAAATTACCATTAGCATTAAGAGCATGTCTAACACTGGCTGATTCAACAATTACAACGAAGCTAAATGCTGATCGTTGTACTAATCATCGTCGTCGTCGTCGTCGTCATCGGAGGGAACAAAGAGATCGTTCTCCTCCAGGAAGTTGGCTATGTTCTTGCTGATCGTGGCGCCCACCAGGAGGCCAAAGACGACGCTGCTGACGACGCCCAGAAAACTGAACGGAGTCCTCTTCGGTTCGGGCAGGATCGCCCCGGATGGCGTGGTTATCGACGACCGGAGGATGGGTCTGGATATTGCGTTCGTCTCTTTGAGAATAGTCGCGCCGCGAAACAAAGACCTCGCCCTGTGCAACAACATTCTCTATTCTCTTCCCTTGAGTTTATTTTCAGGCAACAGCTGATCGCGCACTCGCCTCCGGAACTCGCGAGCCGGCAAAAATCATAGACATGTCAAACATGTAGAAGCCTATTCTGTGAGGGAGATTTGCCGATTCACCGTCTACGTATTTTATATTCTATGATAAAAGTGTGGACAAAATTAGCAAAATCTCTTTAGGGATTTTAGAGCAAATTGTTGCTCACGTTACCATCTTGCTTGTTGACATTTATAGTGCGTTTGAAAATTGATTTCATTGATGTAATAATTTATTTTATATATTTTATATACTTCAATCATTTTTAAAAAATCATGTTTTTAAAATTTTTTGCGATTTGATAATTTATAAATATTTTTTTATTTAAACAAATTTATATTGTATATAATTATGTGAAAACTAAAAAAATCTTATTAATATATATATTATATAAATATTTTAATGTCTTCGCACCAATCCATGCACAGTATAATATATAATAATTTATATATATATATATATATTTTTTTTTTTCTCTGAATATCGAAATTTAATCGACATTGAATAAGTTCCGAGAAGAACTATTTTTCGCTAATGACTTAATATCTCAGATTTTCAATGTTTGGCTTTCAATGACAGTAATAAAAAAAATACGTATATACTCATCAGCAATATAATATGTGGAAAAACACTTCAACTTTATTAAAAAACACACACACGCACATATATACACGTATATCATTTTTATTTCTAGAAAGAAATAATCGTAATGATTTATATATTTCTTTCAATTTTTTTACTTTATAGTTATCAATCAATAACAAAGATATATAAAATCCACTGTAACATATATATAATAAAGAATGATAATAAAAGTATAATTATACTTAATATAATAATTATTGTACAATTAAAATAATATCAATCATAACATTATATAAGAAAAAATTTGCGATATAATATAAAGTTTGTATGTTATTAAATTCTTTACGTATATTATTTTTATATTTATCACCTTATTTTTTAAACGTTAAAAAACTTTACACAATTAAAAATAAATATATTTTGCAATTACATTACATAAAATTATTATTTACATAAAAAATGTATACAAAAAATTCAATTCTAATTCTCGTGTGTGTTATAGTCGGAATGTTTGTCACGCGTTTGTTACAGGATTTTTGTTAGCATTTTGTCACGCGAGTGGCCACGTAACTTTTATTATACATGTGAAGAATATATACGTTATGAAGATTGCATAACTTGTTGTTCTACGTTTTTTCTTCAATATATAGTTTGATTTTATATCACTAACTAGTTCAAAGTTTATAATATATGTATATATATATATATTACACACACATACACACACAAACGTATGCACATACATACATACATATACAGATTAAAATTTGTTACTAATAATGTATAAAAATTTCAAAAATCGTGAAAGAAAGAATATTCAGATAATTTTTGTAAACACTCGATTTTAAGCGGGAATTATTTCAATTGAAATGGAATGTGAGTACGTGCCGTTTCAAAGAGGATCGAAATGTAAACATCGAATACGATAAAAATGTACATATCTGGTTCACAATAAACGCATATTTTTGTATGTTAATCATTACGCTAAAACCAGTTTGATTGGGAAAGGTTGACGTGTGAAAGGCGGAGAACCTTTTCCCTTGCATTAGCTCAAAACTTTGCGCAATGTCGAATTCTTTACGAATATTGCGACATCATATTGTTTCGCTGCTAAATGAAATGATTCTCGTACATCAGTTTTATCAGCTACGAGGATACACTTCCGTAAGAAGAATGGACTATTACTTGTGCGATTTTTCGCAGATATATAATAATTAAAATAATTATAATATGTTATTACGCAATGACAGCCTAAAGTGTTTAAATATAATTTCATCATTTTTTATAATTATTATTTGCGCAACTTTAATGCATGTGTACATAAACAATATTGGATTTTCCACACTCGGCGGAAATATCGGATTTTTTATTTTAAATTGAGAAATAATGCGAAAGTCTCTTTTATCGTGAATTAATTTCTTAGAAAATAGATACAAAAACAGTCCACGAAAATATAAAAAATTTCGAAAATGTATTGTAATGCTCACGAAAATGTTGAAAATATATATTAAGATAATATATTGTGATAACCGATTATTGCCGAAGGAGAAGGAACACTTTAAATTTATTGGATAATCTATCAAGAATTTTAAGATCGCAAACGCTGTGAAATATATTAAAGAAAAATGTTCTGTGCATTTTAATTAATATATCCGGCTATTTCTCTATCTTTATTTGTAGCTATCGCGTTACAAACACATTACACTATTAATATACAGGATGGTTCATTTTAATCGCCCCAGGCAAATATTTTGAAAACTGAGAAATTTTGTTTTAACGAAATAATGTTTCAAACAAAAGTTTTTTAACTTTGAGGCGGCTTTGATTATTTGAAATAAACTTAAGAGAAAAATACTTTATTATAGTGTTTTGGAAAACTCTCAAGATAAGTTATAAGAATATATAATAAAAAATAGTAAATTCCATTAAAGAAATTGAAGGTAGCCTTCAAATGATTATATAAGGTCAAACCAATGACACCATCTTATAATGTCTTCCTCGAAGTAAAAAAAACTTTTGTTTGAAACGTTTTTTGATATCTCTCATAGTTTTCGAAATATTTGCCTAAGGTGATTAAAATAAATTACCCTGTATATAAGCGCGCCATTGAAATATTCTGTTATACAAATAAAAGTGCGCAAATGAGTGTTGATAAAATCTTTTTTTTACGCCTCTTGAATACGAAAAATGATTGGAAGCATAGTCCAAGTTCGAACTTTAAACCCGGTAATTCCCTCTTGCAGACAAAAAAGAGGTGCAACTACAATATTTTATGACAACGTCATTATCATTAATACTCAATTTCTGTATATTCTTAATGCTTACGTGAACACGCATACAATGTTAACGTGCATAAGCGACACATATATAAGCGATTAATTCCGCCTGTCAAGAGAGAACTCTTTTATAAATAATCCTGTTCGTTTATTTCGCACTGTATTTTTTATCGAGAAAAGTAATTTTTGTACGCAAATATATATGTAAGTCGGGACGTCCTCGGCATTGCAGACATTGAAAAAAAAAAGTATACAATATCAGGTAGTAAGCGAGAACTCGTGATAAGGACTTAACATGGTGGCTTATCTTTTTCTCGCTTTATCTCTGGGAAGATTTTCCGATCGCCTGTGGTTTGATGATTTTAACATCATTTAGCAAGTCCGGAAGATTTCTCTTGTCTTATCACTGTTGTAAAGACAAGGAAAAGAAACGTCATTGGCCGCGAAATATTAGCATCTTTTAAAGACGCACGTGAGAGAGGTTGATCGTTATTCATACATACACACACATGAGCGTCCACAAAAAGGGTAAAAAAGGCACTTGTTCCCCTTGGAATCAGTTAAAAAATTAGGCATTTACTTTGCTCTACTTTTGAATAAATGCCGGAATTTATTTACATATTTAATATAAAAAAATGAAAATAAAATTAATTTAAAAAGATTAAGAATAAAAAATTTTTTAAATTTAATTATGCCCCCTTCTGAAAAAAAAAATCCTACGAACACCCATGCATGGCAAAATGGAGCATTTGCCTTCCTTGGAATCAGTAAACAAATTAAGCATTTGCTCTGCTTTTGAATAAACACTGGAATTTATTTACATGTTTAATATAAAAAAATGAAAATAAAAGAAATAAATTTAAAAAGATTAAGAATAAAAAATTTTAAAAATTTCATTATGCCCCTCGTGGAAAAAATTCGGCGGATGTCCATGCATGGCAAAAGGGAGCATTTGCCTTCCTTGGAATCAGTAAAAAAATTATGCATTATTTACTTTGCTTTTGAATAAACACTGGAATTTATTTACATATTTAATATAAAAAAAGTAAAAATAAAAAAATAAAACAAACAATTTAAAAAATTTAATTATGTTCCCTCCGGGAAAAAATCCTGCGGACGCCCATGCGTACACACACATCCATACAAAAGCAATGTTGGAACATATATCGGGAGGCCGCACACGGGAGTCGGTTATTATGCCGTAGATATGGCTCTCGAAGGTAATTAATATTGTTATGATTCAGACAGGTACGTCATGTCCGTGTACCTTGACTAGGCGATTCTTCAGTCTTCGCTCGGAGCTCGTAATGGGCACAGATAGTAGTAGCACGGAGTCTTCTCTTCCAGCGTCCTCCGATGAGGAATACCCACATGTATCCGCCAACGTGTTTAAATGCCGTCTTGAGAACTTCTTAAGAAAATGATGTATCGTCGCATGCCGCGGCGACGCGTCATCGTTTGACATTCCAAATTGCGCGATCTTGGATCGGGACGATAAATTCCTCCGGTATCGTCGGGCCGATTATAAATTTATAATCTGTACAATCAGTGCTCTCGTCGTGCGCGATTGTGCCTGCGGAAAATCTGTACATGAACGGTAAATATAGAGTGAATTGTGTACGATGTACCTTGACATACCTGCATATCTTGACTCGCTTAATGTCTTTCGAAAGTGAACTGAACCGACCAACGCGGGAATAATGTGAACCGAATGCGTAAACATTCGGAGAAGTAAATATTTTTCATTGTAACTACTGCATCGCTATTGCTGCTGTTTAAAAGTAGTCTAAGTTCAGGATGAACGCTCTCGTCGACGGTGTCCAGCACGAGAAGGCGAATATCACGAGATTAAACTCGAGCTCCTATGCGCTCAGCGAAATGGGCGAAGAAGCGCCGAGAGCTAGATTCAATAAATCAACCCAGAGCGATCTCTCGGCATGGAAGAGATCCAGACCGACGTCTCTCGCGTATTTGTCGTCGACGAAGCAAATTCAGATGAGCGAGTCGAGCTTCTCCACGCATAGCTCGAGGAGTACTCTATATCCGGTCCAAAGTGAATTGGTCTTATCGTCTAGAAATAGATACAACAACAACAACAGATATGTATCTCTAGACATGAGATCGATCAATAGCCTCCCGTATCAATCCTCGAGCAATCATATCTTGGGTAGTAACAATACGCCGTACACGTGTTGCTGTACGTGTCCGCAGATCCCGCCCCTGACGCCATCCTCGCAACAAACCGGCGAGCAAGACGGGCCCGAGAGTCTCTCGTGGAGGAGACTCCACATGAGCAGAGCTAAATTGAAAGCAACTGCAACCACATCCGAGCTTCTTAGTGGATTCGCAATGGTAAAAACATGGTTAAATATTAGTTTTTATATACAAGATGTAGAAAGAAAAGGTAAAATATTTTAAGGGGATTTAGAATACCCAAAAACAAGTCGAAAAGTCTTAATAAAGATTTAAATCCACAAATAAACCATTTTTGAGATATCTTCATTTTTTATTTTTGTTTAAAATTTTTATTTTATTATTTTATTTATGTGAATAGAAGTAAATATTAAATTAAATTATAGGTAAATTAAGTTATATATAAGATATTGCAAATATCTCAAAAAATGGCTCATTTACTCATGCTTATATTAAGACTTTTTAACTTACATTGAGACATATTAAATCCTCTTTAAATATTTTTTCAACACCCTACATAATTATCATACATAAATAATAATATCAAAATGTTTAATCCATTAACCGCCATATTTTCACATTTCTATGACTATCTCTTTGGATATCTTCTCTATCGCCATGAAAAATAATTTAAATCGTGTGCTCAATGAAATAAAAATTATATAAGCATTTGATATGATCTACATAAATCTATATAAACCGTGAAAAAAAAATGTGCAAAGAGCACACATATGAGAAAACAAAAAGTATTTGCTCTAAATATTATATTAGACTATATATTATATATTAATATTATATATTAATATACTATATATTAATATTAAACTGTGCATTAATAAAAAATATTTTATGTGCTATATAATAATAAAAAAGTGTTTAATGATACATTTAAAATTTTTTTACATAAAATATAAATATTGTAAATATTATTACATATTTATATAAATATTTTAAATCACAATTTTTTAAATTTTAAACAAAATTAAAAGTATTTTATTATTCGTCAAATTATGGCGATTAATAGATTAATTTTCTTTGTCTACTATAACTCCAGATGTGATTTAAAAATTGTGCACATTTCCATTTTTACTATTAACTTTTTACTATTAAATAATTTCAAAATAAATTGTTGCTAAAAATAAATTATAAAAAATTCATTGCACTTGAAGGAAGAAAATAATGAAATATATAAATATTCTCTTACTATCAAAATAAATTTTTAAAGCAATGCTTTCCCTGATGAAATTTTTCGAAAGCGAAATATTTTTAATAAATTATGATTTGTCAAAGAAATAGAATTGTTTTTCTGGAAATGCATAACTCGAGAACGGGCTGTGTACGATTACACAACGTTTCCTGAAAATGGTTAAATTGACGTTGACGACAATTCTATGTAATCTTCATGCACATCTGTAGTTATATAAGACAGATATCACTTTCTTTAATCTGCTTCACTTCTCGAGATACCTGTAAACATCTTGTACGATGCGGCTGACAATTGTATCAAATTGTATGTATGTACATATTTCAATTTTTTTTGTTTTTTTTTTGTTTTTTTCTCCTGATCCGATTTAGGTGGCGATGGTGGAACTGCAAATCAACGAGCCGACAGCGGTGCCGGAATGGCTATTCGTGATGTTTGCAGTTTGCACTACTTTTCTGGTATCGGTGCACATCTTCGCGTTGATGATAAGCACGTATCTCTTACCCAATATCGAGGCCATAAGTAAGCTCCAAGTGTCGCGTCTTATAACGGAGTCACCGCACGAAAGAATGCGTGGTTTCATCGAATTGGCCTGGGCATTTTCCACGATACTGGGACTGTTCCTCTTCCTAGTAGAGGTGGCTATTCTCTGTTGGGTCAAGTTCTGGGACTATTCCTTTACCGCCGCCACTGCCAGCACTGTGATAATCATTCCTGTGCTCATAGTATTCGTCGCGTTTGCCGTTCATTTTTATCATTCTCTAGTAGTTTACAAATGTGAAAGTGCAGTATCGGATATGAAGGATCTAGAGAGTATAAAAAGAAACTTGGACAATGTGACGATGGCGCAAACTAACGTATAAACTCCCAAGATGTGTGATATGATAATTTATAACATATATAATCGAGTATCCTGAAAATGAAAGAAGATACGTTTAAACTTGAAGATTCCTGGCTCCTCACGGAACATATTAAAATTGTGACGTCAGAAGTGAGAAAACACGCTAAAAATTCTTAGATGTCATTTGAATCTTAAAATATCTCAAAAATTATCCTTTTCCTTTTAACCAATCAACTTTGTAAAATAACTGTAATATGAGACCCAGTCCGTCTGGTTTTTACACATGTGCAATTATTTTGCATGACACGATCATTTTACGGTCTTTTCTGACCGTCAAAATGACGTCATTTTGACGTTTAATGACGTCAGTCTGCTACCTGGGTTGTTGATTAATTGTCAAAGAAAAATAAATTTTTAAAAGTGTGCTAAAACTATCTGAAATAATGTTTCATTGAAATATCTTTTTATTTAAAAATGGCATTAAAAATTTCCAGCGCGTGCTTTCTCGCCTCTGACGTCACAATCCAACGTAGCCGCACTGTGAATCCAAGAGCCTTAAAAATGATGAGTAAAAATTATATTTTGTAACTTCGATATATACAAATCGATCGCGGATGAATACTCGGGTTAATAATGGAAATTGTTATTCAATTCAGAAAAAACACGATATTTTTAATGCGAGAATGGTGTAAGAAAAAACACATAAATTTGTTATCAATAACTTTTACTTTTCAAACGCGACCACATACGAAAATGGTCAAGTTTTATTATATATAAAAAATGTACATTAGCTGTACACATGCAAGTCAAGAATTGCAACAGTACAAGCAAGTGCTTTTTTAGTATGTTACCTATAATATCCAGCATTTAATAATATTCTGTGTGTATATACGGTTTAACTCTTGATTTTTTATTTAAACCTGTTCCTTGATCATTTCGTTTCTATCATATGTCATGTTATTAATATATAATATTTTTTTATCTCATCACTTAGTTTGTGGAAAAAATGAATGACAGTTGTGAATAATCGTTTTATATATACACTTCCTGAAATTTACATAATGAGCATTTTTTGTAGTACTTGTACAATTCTACTCAATAAATAAATCATCAGACTTTATAGGAGATGTACAACAAAATGTGATTTGTTACATGTATTGAAACAAAAATTAAGATATACATATAATTAATGTACCTCTCATTCTTACCATAAACTAAGTTACAATCTTATTATAAACACTTTCTATGTAGTATTATGCCTTAACTTGTTTTGTACAAAAACATTCATCGTTTTAAGGAGGAGTCTCGTTGTGAAAACGAATCGAGAAGTAGAATTATTTTTATTATAACAAAAGTATTACGATTCTGTTGTGGTATAAATTATAAATTGTATTGCACTAATCTACATTTGAAAACTTGAATGTTTTCTCTTAAAGATACACTACATTGTACTAATAAAAAATTCATTGCATTCGATTAATTTGCTTAACAAGTAAAATCTCTTCATAGAGGCGTGACGCATAAATGTTGCTAAGTTTGCGCCTCTTTCTCTATCGAAGTTATTTCGTATGTACATATTGGAAGAAAAAATTTAAACATACATTACAGAACTATAAACGGCATATCATAATGTACGTAATTTGTTCAAAAAAGATCACATATTGTTGAGAAACTGATGATCTGAACACAATTAAGCGCTCTCTTTCAAATATAACAAAATATATATAAAATAAATCATTTTACAAACGCGTCATTATAAGTTGTTTACCGAATAACGGAAGTAATTAAAATATATTTCATTACTCATATGTGTACGTGTGTGTATAAGTAATTATAATTAAAATATAAAAAATGATCAATATAAATATGAGATAACGATGGAAAACAAATTGCTTGTGCTATGGACAGGTAGACAAATGAAAAATGATGAAAACATTACAAAATTAACGGGATCTTATTCAATGGTATGCCTTCTTTGTATTAATTAAAACAAAACTTGGATTTTTTTTAGTATAAATTTTTCTATATTACTATATGAATAAATAGATTAAATTTGTTTGAATCACTCTTCCTATTATATTTTTTCGCAAATTTCTAACGATTGGAGAAAAGTATTTTTGAAGAATTTAAAATAAAAATAATTTTTCATTAAAACAAAAAATGCTGAATATATTAACATAAGTATAGAAACGATTTTAATGAAAGCCAAACGAAAGTAAAAAAATTCGAACAATTGTAGGCTGTTTATTAGTTTAAAAAATTAAACGTTTTGTGGTTCCACTTCGAGACATCTTTAATAAGGGGGACGATATAAAAATATATAATCGTGTAATCATATCTAGATAAAGTCCTGAAATCCCTCACAAATTTTCATTAGAGATGCCTCCAGACATATTTCCGCCTTCAAGAGAAAGAATGTAAATTGAGAATGTAAAGCAATAACAATAAATTTTCTCGAGAAAAGTGCAAAGATGTGTGGAAAACCCTGAAAACGAAACGCACTTGTCAAAGTAAACATTGCAAATGTTGCTATGAAAAACACACGATTATGTATTTTTATTTCATTTTTTTTACTTTTATTTATTGAAAACAAACGTGGAACGGAAACATTGAATTTTTTAAACTAATAAATAGAGCCTATAATTATTTGAATTGTTTTACTTACGTTTGGCTCGAAGTCATGTTAATATAATTTTTATCTAAAGAACAAATTGTAAAACTATTATTTTGATGTGTGAATGTTGTGTATATGTGTGTGTGCAATTTCATGCTTTTACGTCATTGTATTTAACAACTTATTAATCAATTTTGTGTATGTGTTATTACATGTATATGCATAATGTGTATGTGTGTGTGTATACTAATTTGCTAAATACAATGATGTAAAAATGAAATTAATTTCAGATCATTATATGTATCTAATTGATTTGTGACTATGAATATTTTACATAACTTATTTTAAAGCAAAAGACAATATGAAAGAGCATTTATTATTCTACCTTTCTTAGACAATGTTATATTATTACATTAGAATATATTATATTATTTCATTTAATCTAAGATACTATAAATTGATCCAAGAGAAAGGTAGAATGGAAAAAATTATTTATCTTTCAGAGAAATCACTTAATAGATTGGCTTTCGTACATATTATCTTCAGTCTTGTCCTTAAATAAACATATAAAGTCTTTTCGATAGCCTATCCATAGCAAGAGCTCGTTTAGAAAGCCTTTTTGTTTAAACAAACCTTCCTGTAATTATCTTTAACAATGCACAGTTTCATATTACATCCTACTTACACGTTGAGAATGACAATGCGTGAAACTAATCTCGAAATAAAAAATAGTTTGATCAACAAACAAACAGCAAAACAAAACACAGTATTGAAAAGCGTGCTATTCATTACTGCAAATCGCAAAGTCGTGCCCATAAATCTATAAAAATGATATAATAAATATATACACAATTATTTTAGCATAATTACTTTGCTCAATCGAGTTTAAATCAGCTTTAAATAAAGTCACAACCTACACGCATGTGTGTGTATTGGATTCTTATCCAAATGCTCAAATAGTTTATAAATTATTCTATTCGTAGCTATATATAATATTTGCAAGTAATTCGATATCGATTGAGTATAATGAATCAAATGAATCTTGTAATTATTTGTAACTGAATTTTACAAAAGTAATTTAGCTGTTCAATACTTTTTGTTCAACTGAAGTAAATATCTCAAGAATCTATCAATTGTCATGATGATAGTAAAAGTGAAAGACCATTTTTCATTCGTAAAATCAATCACATGATACATAGTTTCTTTTAGCTATTATGTAGTAGCTTGAAATGACAATAATTACTGATTGCATTATCTATTATATGCACAATATCTATCCATATACTCAACATCAAGTTAAGACACAGAAAGAATGCCAATAATATATGTGTCATTTGGCATTCCAGAAATATTTCGAAAGGATTCGTCGACCTCTATTGTTTCGGTAAAAAGTTGTTTGCACCGCTAACATTATACTCGTGTGACATTATGTTACATTTATAAATTATTTTTATGCAGTATATGTATTTTTACACTAGATAAGACTGCAAATAATTGCATTGACCCTTAGATCTGAATTGTCCTCTGTATTGACTTTAAAAAGAATGTAAACGTATATCGCGCGCGCGGGCGCGCATGTGTGTATAGAAAAAATTACTTACATTAAATGACGTTGATGAAAATAAGGACGTGAAGTTATGTGAATCTCATGCAAGGATTTTGTCTCCGATACAGCGCAATATACAGCAAGTCATGACTCTTGTCAAACGTCCATATGTTTAGAAGGTGGTTGAGATATAAATGGTTCACTCCACATCCGACGCAAATCTCCCTGTAAAAAATAAAAAATAATTAACTCATAAACATGAGTATCTTACATTATATTTCGTACGTTTAACTTAAAAAAAGTGATTTATCATACAATGTTTTAATGTAAATTTAATATAAGATGTATTCCAGATAATATTTTATCTCTTTGTTATGGTTATTCTTTATCTTATCTCGTTTTCTTTACCTTTGTATTTTTATTTCTTTATCAATTTTCAGTTAACTTTCTCTTACCAAAAACAAAAGAGATTATCACATTTTTTTACAATTAAATAAACAAATACACATATGTTTTTGTAATTACATTTTACATTACAAATTTATTAAAGTATTATAGATTAAAAATTTTACTATTCTTCTTTGCAGCATTTTCTCGCAATCGTTAATAACTTGAAAATTATTAATTTTTTAAATATTTCAGAGAATAATAAAAGTAAAAAAATGAAAATTAAAACATCTCGAATAGTATATAAAATATGTAGAATTTATATATAGAGAGAGAAATAAATAGTTACCTTCAAATATGCCATTGTGAGTAATGGCAATAAAGTGAAGGGCACAAGGTACAATAAGGCAGGCTGCGCAGCTTGAACACCTCAGAGCTTACAGTGGCGGTAAGTAGACCAAGAAAATAAAACCGATCAACGAGCAATGAAAGTAGCTAATCCGGCTGAAGTGG